CAGATGCAAGGTTTCCTCCTCACCTCTTAATATAGCTGCGGAGGGAGGGAAATGTATCACCACAGGTGCCAACATCTGCTCCGCACTCTCAAAGAGGAGCTTTGTTTTGGAGCTTTATTAGTCCATTCCATTCTCAACTTTCTGAGGTTGAGCATTGTGTTATTTGCTGGATTTTAATAATATTTCAGTGTCAACAATGAGAAACGGGCAAATGCATAAAATGTACTGGGGGAGATTTTTAAAAGCATGAAAAGGAAACAGGCACCAAACTCCCATCGATCTTCTCGGGGAACTCTGCAAGAGAGTACACTTTGTGGGTCTGCTTTTATTGTCTCTTACCGCAAAAGAAATGAAGCCAGATTGTTTTGTGTCCCTATGGCAAATCTACTTCCTTGAAAAATGCTACCTTCAGTATAGCTTTGTAGAGGCTAAGCTACTACTTATTGCCTGAGTTCGAAAACATTGAAACATCATTGATTAAAGGAACCAAGTCCAGTTTGATTAAGACCTATACTAGGTAGACGACCCTAACCAAATGAGTCAACAAGATATAACAATGTTCTCCAGTGAATCTCTACCATTCCTTCATCTCACAGTTCATTTTCTGCTTATTCCTCCAGCCCTGAAGTGTTGCTAATCCAAAACAGCAGTCATTCAGCTTCCCTCCCATGGCCAACTCTGGAAAAGGCAAGGACAAAAAGAAAGCCTTCAGGACCTAGCAGCAGAGTACCTTAGAGCCAGATGTTGCTCCTGACTAATCTAAAGCTGCAAGCTGAGGAGAGAGAGATGCCTCATGCAACACTATGCAGTGAGACATATTTTTAAAGCAAGTTCACAGTCTTTTATACTGTACTGTAAGTATATGCGCCTATGAGCCAGAAGATAGATGCTTTTTGTACGGAACAAATCAACTTTACTTTATGGAAATATTGGCACGGCTAGATATGTGTGTGTTTGTTTCGTGGAAGAGAATTTATTTATGCCCTTTCTGCCTGTGACCTTTACACTGAAACCCATTTGTGTTCGGAGTCTGGAGATTTAAAAAAAAAAAAAAAAAAAAGACTACTAAATAAAATACTGACTATATACTTTACAGACCCCAGAGTAAAAAGAAATAGTAAAGGTCATCTTAACAGAAAGGAAAGCAGAAAATAGAACACAATACCTCATCAAGTTGATTAAAAATTGTTGCCATAAATACTTTACTAAAATTGCATGAAAAGAAGCTCCCACTCAATGTTTAAATGTCAAAACAAATGATAAATATCTAGAGGTGAAGTGTGTGTAATAAGAAAGTACTTAAATATATGAAACACTATCTAATATTCATGTCAATGAGCAGAAATCAGTCCAGGATTCAACTTCACAGGAACCAGCTATTTAGACTGTAGGTGGATTTTAATAATTTCCCTAAGTAAAAAACTCAATCTTCTTGAGAACAGAGATTATCAGCTCTGGCAGGATACTTGTCATGCTCTTTAGGACTCTTCTTTCGGCTCTTTTCAGTCTTTCTCTTGTGTCTTTTCTGTAGTGGCCACTGATAGAACTAGATAAATCGACCAGAAACTAAAGCATCAAAAGTTCCACAGGAACTTAAGGAAAAATTTCTTAGCAGTGAGGGTGACAGGTTTCCAAGAGAGTCTGTGGAGTCTCCTTCTCTGGAGATCTTCAAAACCCGCTTGGACGCAGTCCTGTGCCACGTGCTCTAGGTGACCCTGCGTGTGCAGGGGGGTTGGACTAGATGATCTCTAGAGGTCCCTTCCAACCTTAAGCATTCTGTGATTCTGTGATTCTATGATTATATCTTTCTCCAGTCCCTGAACTTTTCCTTCAGGGGACCTACTGTGACAGCTTAGGCCATACAATCTTCTTCATTCAGGTATCAAGAATTCCCACATGCAGGCCATGAGCCTTCCTAAGTAGCAATGAGCAAAATCCCAATTGGTCTATGAAAGTTGAAATCAGAAGGTTTCTAAGTTCTCCTTCCTGCAATGGAAAGTTAAAAAAAATGCTGTAGCTTCCTCTTCAGGACAGGTTCTAAAAGTCGTCCTATAATATTGTTTGGGAGAGGCTATTTGCCTCTCAAATTACTGACCAAAAGAAAAAGCCTTCTGATATACTCTTCCAGGAGAAGGGGAAGAAGAAGCATGTCAGTCAGTAACACTGTTCTTCAAATTTCTGATTACATGCTTCCATCTCAGAAGGTAGAAATGCACAAAACATTTTACCAAGAAAATTTTACAACAGATCAAAATTAATCTACTACATAATACACAATGTCAACAGCAATCCCTAATGCTTATAAGAACTGATTAAATTTGAAAGACACAGGCAGTTTGAACTGGATAGAGTCAAATTACAGTCCAAGTTTGGGACTTGTATAAATAATGTGTTGGCAGACTTCTGTAAGCTCTCTTCGGAGTGGGAGAATTGAGCAGTGGAGATGGACGTAGCCATGGGGCTCAAAGATTTGTATTTTTGCAGACTGCCTAATTCAGCAAGTAACAGGTAGAGCTATACAGCTCCTGCTACATGGAACTGCTTTGAAAGGAAAATGACTGGGAATCTGATTTCAAGACAATGCAAACTGTTCATACTTAAATCCTTGCCCTGAACACAGTAGAAACAAAGAGATTCTGTTGACGTATTTTTATTGCCTTTTAATTTTATATTCTTCTCCTTCAGCTAAGGATGAGGTTTGCTCTCCACCAGAGCTCCCTTAACAGCCTCCACTTCCTCCGCATGATTGTCCTCCAAAAGGATCTCCGTTCTTCATATTCCTGTTATTATCCTCAACCCATCCCTTTCTGTGCCCCTGCATCTCTACTTCTGTCCCACGTGCCTTTACTCCACTTCCTGGTATAAACTCTATCCTTCCTATATCCTCTGACAACCCCTGTGCTAGAGGGGTCCAAGCTTTGCGTGCGCCGACTGGCCAGCAAGCAATCCAGGTGATACAGAACTGTTGAACTCGTGCTGCTATGAGTCAGCCCCCACAATGCAGCCCAGATCTTCCAGAAATTTGTAAGAAATAAACAGCACTGAAGACTTCACTGTTTGGTAAAATTTGACTGAAATTCATCCAAAAGCTCAAAAGTTATTAGGAAGGAAGGAACGAGGCAACACAATCACGTAGTCCTGATTTCTTTGGGAGAACAAATTACAAATGATGACTAGAAACAAGCCATGAGTGTGTCTACCAGATTTGCCTCATATCAACGTGGCTCAGTTCCATCACCCGAGTTTGTTGTATCATGACCTATACACAGTCAGTTCTCCCTAGACACAAAGGATACTCTCGGATGTGAATTTTGAAACTCTGTGTGTGTTCTATTAAGGCAGGTATTAACACTAACACATCAGTAGGTATGGGCTAAGTTCCAAAGTTTCCAACTCACACGCCATATTTCTACCACCCAATGAAGGCAAATGCATGATGAAATGCAGTACTTGTCCTAGAGCGAACTACTCTGAATTCTCCCAGGACAATGAATTTGGACAAAATATTCCTCACAGTTTCACCATTCCCCTCTTTCAGAAGAAACTGGGCAAAGTTTAGTGCAATTCCCTGAGACATCCGTCTCTTCACATTAAAAAAAGGAAAAAAAGGCACAAAAAATAACCCTCCAAGCTGGATTGGGTTGTCTTTTGTGAAACATGTCAGCAAGGCATTAATGGAGGAACTCAAGATTCTTTTATTTAAAATCCATATGAGGCAATAGTTTGATTTCATAAACCATTTCATCATTCATCATCTCTATTCTCATAGCAGTGCTGAGAAATGGTATGAGAATGTAAAGTTGGGAACTGAATACGCACTCTACAGACTTTCTGAACCACGCGGCCATCTTGGCTTCTTCTGGTATGGTTCGTACACTGCTATATTCACAGTACCTCATGACTTTGCAGGCACACGGGCGAGACTTGGTTCCACAGGTGAGTCTGCCATTCTCTCATGTGGAGTAGTTAGTCCTAATTATGATGATCTCATAACTATAATAGGGCTTGCAGGACACTGGCCTTCCCTCTATCTTACGTCTCAGGGAAGCAGCACAAAGCCAGCCTAACAGCAGGATCACCGTGGAACTTCTCAACATTGGTTTGATGGGGGATTATCTTAAATAACGTGAGTCACAGTGCCATGAATCCTCCAGGAGAGTGGCACAGTGGCAGCAGAGCCTTACAAGCCTGAATCAGCTTCCCCTGCACTGCCTAGACCTCTAAGAATAGGCCCAATTCTGCCCAAAGTGAAGCAACGACCTGCCGATGGGAACATGGAGTTCAGCAGCCAAACCGGAGCGTCCAGTCACCAACCAAGGGCCCGAGGCAAGGAGCAAGGTATGTTCTTGCTCTTACATCTTAGAGGTCTTCATGGAAGCTTTTTGGAGGACAACAGCGTTTCTTTAGTGTCTGCTCAGCTTTGTGGAAGGAGAAGTATTTTCACCAAGGAGCTACACAGCATATTCCAGGATGACCGGGACTAGTAGGTCATGGTTCATCAGAATACAGTAATTCACATTCAATGCTGTTTATGTTTATTTCTCACAGACAGTGCTCTGGTTTTCCTGAGACACGTGCACCTCAACACCCTCCAGACACAGGTATGTTTACCTCAGAGCTGGAAATCCCACTGCCCAACAACTGTAAAAGCAGCTTTTACAAGTGTTTTTCTCAAGAGTGCATGCAGAGTTTCAATGGTCTTTTAACCGTATTGACATGAATATAAAAAAGTGAAATTTCAGATCAGAAGGATATCCCATATCATATTCTAATAATTACACGATACATAAGGACAAATTTTAAAATCTTTATAATCATGGCTTTTGACATTTTAAAATGTTTAGGGATCTATTTAGAAAATAAGTACAAGTCAGCAGTGTTATTTCAGAAAAGTATTTTACAATTGATTTTGATAATTTTAAATATATATCAAGCAAGATAGTCTTATCATTTTCTGAGTTCCTAAACAGAAATTGTTTATCTTATGGGCATTTTATTGCTGCTAAATATATTTTTTCAGCCAGTTAATCATATCCCTTCTTGCTTCCTCAATATAAGGTTTATCCTGAGGATTGATATCTTCTCTTTTGCGATGTACAAAGCCATGAGTCTGACCAGGATAAATTTTAACCTCATAATCTACTTTACACTTTTCTTTAAGCTTCTGCTCCAGTTGGGTAACCTGTAACACAGAGTGTTCCGTCATTGCTCATATTGAATTAATGTGTTATTTTTCTACAGTCTTCAATATGTCCCAAATGTGTTTGTTACAACACTTTTTTTTTTTTGAGACAGGTTTTTTCCGCAACAGTAAAATAACATTATCTGATTGTATAAAATTACCAAATATATATGTCAGTCTCAAATCTTATAATATTACATTTATGTCAGTGTAAAGATATAAAACACTTCCTGCTCATTATCACAAGCAAGATCACCTGTAGTAATCACTGTACAAATTATCGCAGCTAGGCTTCAAGAAAAAAAAGGGGCAAGATTTTGATTCCATTTAAAATTGATTTGATGGAGGGCAGGCATTGGCACAAACC